CTTTTTGACCTGGAGCAAGAGACCGAGCCTGGACGTGTCCTTCACGAAGCTCTGGACCCCCTTGAACAACTCATGAGCGGTGTCCTCCTTGGGCCCAATCCACTGAAGGGTGGAGTCATCTACCAAGGCTCTGGGTTTTACGTTGGGGCACACCTGGGTAACTTTATGGACAGCTCTATATGTCAAGATAGACAGCAGAGTAGTAGCATGAGTACATCCCGCAAGCATACCCTGTCGAGCCCGAAACGATTTGTTCCAACTCCCAAAGTCCCGAAATAAAAAACCCTAGGTTGTGGGTGCGAGTCCAAGAGCACCCCGAGGAGCCTCATGAGGAACTGCATGGAACTAGCCTCTATGATGGGGGCGTCATACATGACCGTCTCAAAACATTTCCACATATCTAAAAATACCATGATCGAAGATTCACCTAGCCGATCAGCTATTCCAGCCTGTAGATTATGCTCATAAGCAGAGAAGCTGGATGAGTAGCCGCGTCGGTTGCCCCAAATACACTTGCTACCATGATCTCGAATCCACCTTCTGGAAATCGGTCGGCGAGCTCGGGGCCGAAGACGGACTAGCGACTCGACCAGGGTAATAAGACGTAGTCCCCCGTCAGGTTTTGCTAATCTAACCATCCCATTGACTATTCTGTCAGACGGCCACGCCAACATATGCTCGCACATCGTAAAAAGAGCTGCAAGATCAACCAGGCCTGGCTGCGAAAGATACCAGAACGCGCGAGGAAGCAGTCGCGCGGGGCCCACCGACGTTTTCCATGGAAAAGTAAGCGCCGCATCCTGAAGGTCCTCAGGCCGCAGCTGCGGTAGCAGATCCCAGCTCTGATGATCGGCAGGCATCTTGTTGCTCACCACCTCATGACAACTCCATACCTCACTCCAGCACTCAAGCTCTCTGTCAGCAAGTTGGCGCGGCTGAGAGTTATCAGTGCGAGTGACAGCAGCTTCCAATGCCTTCGTCTTAGGCGCTCGATGTGCAGCACCCGCTCCTTTCTCAAAAGCAGACCTGACCCATGAATGCCAAGATTTGTCAGCCTCCTTCTGATGCACCATCATCATATCATCAGCAACTTCCACAATCTTGAATGCCAATGTCAGAAAATCAGGTCTGACCAGCATAGTGAAATCTCCAGACAGTAAATGAACTGCCCAATCATCCAGTTGCTGCAGCGTGTCCTGCGCATTGTGCACCTTCTTCAAGAAGTGGACCACATCAACAAGTGATCTCGCCAATCTTGCAGCTGGTTTGAGCAACTTGTGAGATCTAAGATCTTCTTCGCAACTTGTACGCGTTTGTGCAAACTGTTGTTCGCCTTTTCAACTGTTCTGACCGCATTTTCTCCAGCTTCACCCCCGCGCGCCGAGACTTGGGTTGCAAGTGTGGTCTTTTGGCTTTGACCTTCTGCCAGGCCTCTTCCAACTCTTCATTCGTAGTCTCCAATGCCACGATCTTGTCGGAGTGCGGACTCGCGCAGTCAGGAAGGCAATGCTTGCCGTCGCTTCTATCCCCAAGCTTGAACGCCTCAGCCATCTTGCACCAGAAGGCCCGCACTTTCATAAGATGCTCAGCCCAGCGCGCAGCCTGAAGCCAAGCTCGAAGTCGCGGCCCATGCTGTAGTCGCACTTCTCGTGGGTTCCATTGCGCCTTGACGTACTTAGTCTGCACTGGTCCTCCTCTTCCAAGGTATCTCTCATGACCAGCTCCTACCTTGTCATACCGTGCACACAACCCCTGCTCAACTGCCATCAAAGTCATATCCCATGCATGCTGCAATGGTGCCTGCCCGTCAACATCCTCCATCGCCCTCATGACTGGCGCCCAATTCACAGGATACCTGGAACAGCCAATATTTGGCCCTGTTGGGAGCTGACGAGGTTCAACAGGCAAGCGCAACCATATATCATTATCTGTATTTGCTAATGGGATGGCCACAGGCGAATATGTGGGTAGAATCTTGTCACCCAAGATCATGGGGGCATCAGCTCGCGAAGCCAGCGCCTGAGTAAGAAGAAACCCATCATAAGTACGACTTGCAGCTTCTTTGTGAACTCTGCACGTAGCACCAACAGGTACCAAAAACATCGCCTGAATCTGTGCAAGCCATTGCTGCCCACGAAGCTGATACGACTCAAGGGCCCAATCACCCCTCACCACCCATGGTCTCGAATGGGACTTAAACCTGCCAAGATACGTCGCCCACTTATATAATACGGACTGGTTGTAGACATCAATTCCAACCGAGTCTTTGAGATAGAGCGATACCAGAACCACTCCGCCTTTACAGCCCCAGTTGGCCTGTGCAGCCACCGCCCTTGCTGGCCATAACGTTGGCGACGATAAAAGTGGCGGCGCCGTGATCATCGCAGAGGTCGGCACCAGCACCGCCACGCCCGAGCTGAGGCCGTCTGCTTCAGTACGCTCAGCTGCTGCATACACCCCATGGTAACCAATGTCCTGGATCAGCTGCTGGAGCTTAGGAAGCATATGGTGATCCGCCTTGTGCTCTTGAACCAATATTGCGGCATCACGCGCTTGTTCAAGATACTGCAGCAAGGGCCCAGAAGCATCCGTGTTGACGGTGGTAATGCGTCCATTCATGGTGTTCCTTCCAGCTTCTTTTCTGGCTTGATTTATATCACTGTATTCTCCAGCTGCAGCACAAGATCCGCCCAAAGTTGTAGCCGACCTCGAACTTCCACTGAAGCCATCATCAAACATTGCCTGCCTGGAAGAAGAGACAACTGAGCTCTTCAAATCCAGACCACTTCCTCCAATATTCGACGCCGTGATCAATAACAGTACCATCGCAATCTTCACGTATGAACTGCATCTCCTAATGCACCTGGAAACTGCCGAGCTTGGTCTGCTGCCTGAACTGCAAGAGCTTCTCCGCCGCCTCCCTGAGATCGGGCTTCTCCGTCGGCACCTCCACCCCAGCCGCTTCCAACATCGTGGAGAGCGCATCATCGCTGGCCTCCTCAAAGGCCTTGTCCCTGGCATCCTGCTCTTCAGCAACCCGTTTTGCAGCAGCCTCTTCAGCAGCTTCAGCATCACGCTTGGCTTGGAGCTCACGAGGCGGTGGAGGAGGAGGAGGAGGAGGAGAGAAGTAGGGTGTAGGGTGTTGGGCCTAGGGAGGAGGAGGAGGAGGAGGATGAGGAGGAGGAGGAGGCGGTTGACCAGTGCAACACAAAGAGTCGCCAACGATGTTGGAATGAACCCTCCCTCCAAGCTCCCTCTTCCCTTGCAAATTCTGGAAACGAACATGCGCGGCGCTAAGGCGAGAGCCACATTTCGAAAACGATCCGCCCTCAATCTGTGAAGCTCTTGCATTGTTTTAAACGAGTGTGCGCGGCGCTCAGGCGAAAACCACAGTTTGAACATGTCCTGCCCTCAATCCGTGAAGTTCTTGCAATCTGTGTCAATGAATGTGTGCGGCGCTAAGGCGAGAGCCACATTTCGAAAACGATCCGCCCTCAATATGTGAAGCTCTTGCGATTGGTTTAAACGAGTGTGCGCGGCGCTCAGGCGAGAGCCACATTTTGAAAACGACCCGCCCTCAACCCGTGAAGTTTTTACAACTGTTGTCAATGAGTGTGCGCGCGGCGCTCAGGCGAGAGCCACATTTTGAAAACGACCCGCCCTCAACCCGTGAAGTTCTTACAACTGTTGTCAATGAGTGTGTGCGGCGCTAAGGCGAGAGCCACATTTTGAAAACGACCCACCCTCAATCGGTGAAACTCTTGCAACTGTTTGAAACGAATGTGCGCGGCGCTAGGGCGAGAGCCACATTTTGAACGCGACCCGCCCTACATCGGTGAAACTGTTGCCACTCTTTAGCTTCAGAGTCATAAGCGGTGAGGAAGTCTCAGGCGAAACGCCCAGCCCGCTCTAAAAACTGGCCTCGGGGTGAGACAGGGAAAAGCTATCTATAAGGAAGGAATGGAGGAACCAGGCGGAACCATGAGGAATAAGGAGGAGGCGGAGGAGGAGGAGGAGGATGCACCAGGCGGAACCAGGAGGAACCATGAGGAGGTGGAGGAGGAGGATGAGGGGGAGGAGGAGGAGGAGGAGGAGGAGGAGGAGGAGGAGGAGGAGGAACCAGGCAGAACCAGGAGGAACCAGGAGGAGGAGGAGGAGGGGGCGGAGGGGGCGGATGAGGAGGAGGAGAAGGAGGAGGAGGAGGAGGAGGAGGAGGCGGCTTATGAGGAGGAGGAAGGCGAGGAGCGAGGCGGAGAAGCCGGGGCGGAGGAGCCGGGCGGCAGGATGAAGGACCTTGCGGGTTCGCATCCGTCCAAATCCCCGCGCGCCACCCTCTTGAGGATCTGGGTCGCCTCTCTGCGTCATTCCGTGCTTTTTTACAATGGGGCCCATGCCGAGAAACACCCTTCTTGCCTCCAGGGTGCCCTGGGTTTCTTGGCTTTCGATGGTTTTGCTACGGGAAACGTGTCGTTCCCACACCAAGAATCAATTGACATCCTGGGGTCGAAGGGTTGAGTTTTTTGTGGAAAGCTTCTTGCGGACTGGCCTCCACTTTACGTAGCATCTTCGGGGGACCTCGCCTGTCCCCCAAACTGATGTCTTCTTTTGTGCCCGACGCGGGCTCGATGCGGACGCGGCGCGGACTCGGCGGATTCGCGGCTGACTCTACACGGATTCGACACGGATCCGACGAGTCCGACGTGGATTCGGCACGGATTCGACGCGGATAGGGCCGCGACGGGACAGACGTGGTCCCCCGGAGGATGCAACATGACCCTCCTTCGGCCAGACGTGAACGTGACCTTTCGCCGGAGTCACCTCTGGTGCGGGCCAGTGGGGTCCCCAGATGGCCCAGTGCGGTGCGACAGCAGCGGCTTGCGCGCTCCAGCTCGGCCTTCCCGCACCGCCCCGAGAGCCGCGCACCAAAAGGGCCACTCTTGCCTGGGGTCACTCCTGCGTGTGGCCGACCTCTGCGCGTCTCCCCCCCCCTTAAAATGCAGGACGAGGACATCGTCGACGGTATGGACTACGAGGAGCGCCGCCGCGCACCGTGGCTGGCGTGAGGTCGGAAGGCAATCGGACGGGGCAGCACGAGGAGAAGTCCGTTCCAGAGCGTTCCGGAACGCTCTCAGAGGGCTCGGAAACGCTCTGGTAAGGTCGCGGCGCCCGAGAGCCTCCAGAGCCGCCAGACCTCAGCGATTCTCGATGTCGATTTATCCTCGTCCTGGCTTCGTCCCACGGTCGGACCAAGGTAGAAGATCGAGGTTGGCTCGGGGAGGGTACTTGAATGGTCCTCGTGCTTGTCGCATGTTCTTGTGTATCCTGGGGGAGGGCACGCTTGGAGATCTTAAGGTTTGGTGTGTTCTGGCCCGCAGAGCGTCTCATGCTCTTGAAGGATGTTATTATGTCCTATGTCGGGCCGTGGACAAGAGGCATTTTCGCACGTGTGTCTAGTCCTCTACGGGTGTTCCTACACTGGGAGACCGACGGTGGGACCCCCACACGCAATAGCGACGCACAGCAAACGGGACCGTCCGCGCCGAGATTGGCGCGTAAGTTGCCCGCGTAAGTTCGCGCGTAAGCGCCCTTGTCTCCAGTGTGGCGCGCCGTGCTGGCGGTCCTCGTGAGCCGCCGCTTAACGTCGCTGTACACCTTAGGCGATGCTTAAGAAAACTTAAGTTTTCGGCCAGAGTCTCGATTATTCTCAACGTTTCAATGTAAATCCTAAGATTTTGATAGAAATTTTGGGTTTTTTATTCAAGTTCTGAGACCATGAATTTCTTAACCCATGATTTCTTAACCATTTCGCGTGGTGTATCATCTCGCGTAAGGCCCGTTTTTGATCGTCGGTCATTTGGGAGGTCTCTAGTCCCACGGGACGGGCAGGGGGCCGGAGCTGGAACGGTTCCCCCCTTTCCATGGAGGGTCTGCTACGCGAGGGGGCAGCTTTCCCATGGTTCGTGTTCACTGGCAGGGGGGGAGAAGCGGGGGCCAGGATCCAGGGAGACCCAAATCGGCCACGCGCAGAGGGGGTAGGGGGATGGTGGAAGGCTTCTTAGACGCACCCCTGTTTCTTAGAAGGCGCGGGCCTTCTCCATGGATGCGAGCTGTTTTTTTATCGTCGCTCACAGGACTTCCCCTTTGGGGGCTCCCATCGCCCAGGAATTTCAGGTGTTCGGTGCCAGGTGCCGCTACTGGCAGTCTTCGTCTGCGGCTTGGCGGGCCCAAGGTCGTTCCCCGGACGTCGAGGGAGGAAAGACCACCCCGACCCCGACAATTGACGTTTCCCAAACGACCCTGGACGTTCACTAAACAGCCCTACACTGTTCGATTCCTTCCCTGGATGCGTTACGAAATGGTTTCGCTTGTTACGGTGCTCATTATGGGAGGGGGGATGTTCTGCTCTCTAGGACAGTCCCACGGAGCACAGACTCGGCCCAAGACTCTAGGCTTTCCAGTTGGGGTCCCAGCAGACGGGGTCGGAGGATCGCCGATGCATCGGTGATGCCTCGGCGATGCGGCGCGATGCGGACTCTGATGTTCTCCACGCCGAACTCGCCCAAGCATCGCCGACGTCGCCGATGCATCGGCGATGCATTGGCGATGCATTTGCGATGCATTGGCGATCCTCTGACCCCGTCTGCTCAGAGCCCATGTCGGAGGCCTCCGAAGACCGCTCTACAATGCCCAAGATGGCCTCAGGACGTCCCAAAGGCTTCCAAGATACCCCACGAGAGCCCGAGGATGACCCCCGCGAGAGCCCCAGAGACCTATCGATATGTTTTGGGAGGGCTCTGGACAGATTGCAGCGCTCTCTCTCTCTCTCTCTCTCTTGAGCTTCCTACGGCCCCCGACAGTCCAGGAGGCCCCCGACATCGCTCCAACACGGCCCCAGAGGCTCCCAAAGCTCTGGGACAGCCCAGACAAGGCCGTACCATGGCGCCCAAACGACCCACGTATCCCCCAGACACGGCTCAAGAAGGCCCCAAAACGGACAGTCCCAATTGACGATTCGAGCCTTCCCCCCACGACTGGCCCTGGAGACCGCCAAGGAGCGCCCAAGACGCGGCCAGATCCCCTCAAACCGCATACGAAGTAGAAGTCCCCCCGAGAGGTCTAGTAGACGCTTCCATGAGGCCCCCGAAAGGCTGCCCCAAGGAACCAAAATAGTCTGTCATACATGCCTCCGCTGTTCCTTTCTCTGGTTATCTGCCTCTTCTGTCTTCTTCTTCTTGCTCCTCCTCTTCCACATCCTTTTCCTCTGCGCCCCTGATGGTCACGCGCCCCATGTGCCCTATGGGCCTCATTAGCCGCATGAACCATATGAGCCCCATGTATGGGCGCTATGGGACTAATGTGCTTGCTGTCCCCATGAGCCGTATGATCCCTGAGATCTCTTTCAACCCTGCTGGTCCCATGGGCCCTGTGAGCCCAGTGGGCGCTGCGGGTCTTGTCCGGGGCGGGCATTTGTTCCATAACCACCGCCCGTTGGAGCGATCTTCGGGGACCTCGGCAGGCTGTGAATATGGTTAGATTTGGGCCCCCATGTGATGGGCCGATTTTCCACCACCACGACCAAAGGTAGAGAGAGGAGGAGGAGGAGGAGGAGGAGGAGGAGGAGGACCCGTCCTACCTAATTGGTGGTGGAAAATTCACCCATCATGGACCAACATACATCCATATACACCGCCCGCTGGGTTCCCAGGACGCCGATTCAAGGGCGCACTCGAGGGCGCGACGTTGTTTAATTCGCGCTTCGCGCGGCTCGGCTCCGTTTCCTTCTCCTCCTCCTCCTCCTCCTCCTCCTCCTCCTCCGCCTCCTCCTCCTCCCTCCCTCCCTCCCTCCCTCCCTCCCTCCCTCCCTCCCTCTCCTCCTCCTCGTCCTCCTCCTCCTCCCTCCTTTTTTTCCTTGGGGGCGGCGCGAGAGAGCGAACTGATTCGCACTTCGCGCAGCGCGTAGCGCTAAGCGCGAAGTTAGGCGCCCTTGAGAACGAAGTTTCGCGCTCCGAGGTTTTCGGGCGTCTTCGTAGGTCCCTGGCGGTTTTCCAGTCTCGGGATGCGCTCCAGGTGCCTCGCCGAAGGCGGCCCTGGGGTGCCCGAATCGTCCCGAAAAGGCGCCGGAGAGCCGAGCTATGACTCGGGGGTGGACAGAACCCCCAACAGTGACACGTCGATTAGTGAATTGTCCGTTTTCGGTTTTCGTGAGGGCGCCGTGGCCGTTATTTTCCAGGCTTGCGCCCGCCAGGTTTGGGCCCAAAGTCGTTTTTACTAAACCACGTTTTACTAAAGGGAGGTCTGTCCATCCCCGAATGACTCGAAGTTGCACCGTGGGGGGGGGATAGGCTCAGGGGGGAACGCATCGACCCCAAATCGCTCATTGGTCGCCGATAGGTGCCCGATAGCCCACCCCGCCAATGATTGTGCAGTTTGTTGATCGTTTTCTTCATTGTGTTGCCGATCGTCGCTGGCCCTCGTTCCACCCCCCCATGGAGTAGATCTTGACTGTTTTTGGCGCCTGTTTCAAACACGAAGAGTCTCGCCCATAGGACGCACTGTTGCGAGCAGTCGCATTAAGCAGAGGTCCAGAGCCAGACCCCCCCCTCCTCCCCCCGGGGGTTGCTAAATGTGCCCCTGGCCCAAGGTGCCCCTAGCTTTTAGCTCGATTTGAAGCCCCTGGGGCCCTCTGGGCCTCATGAGGGATGCTCTTGAGGCCGTTGGGGTCTCCTTGCGCCCTTCCGCCCAATGCCGAAACGCCGAACATAATTACCTTCACTTAGCAATCGGGGAGGAGGAGGAGGAGGAGGAGGAGGAGGAGGAGGAGGAGGAGGAGGAGGAGGAGGATGGAGGAGAGTGGCCCAGCGCAGCATCTATCAGCGATAGATCGCCGATGTCCATCTCGATGTTTTTTTTCTGATCACCCCGGAAGCCAGTCCCTCCCCCCCTGCCGTGGGTCCTCACTGGTGTGTGTGTGTGTGTCGCTTTCGGTGCCCGCCTCTCTGCGTCCCTGGGCATCGCTCGGACGTGTGCGCTCTTTCATCGGCGAGGCCCATCGAGTGGCACCCTGGACCATCGACCAACGCAAAACACGCACGTGACCGAACCATGCACTGGGAATGGGCGTCCGAGCGCTGGCGAGGTCCGTGCTCCCGCCATGGCCGCGCTCCGCGCTGTCCAAGTAACCCGCGCTGCCTCATGACTGCCCTCGGCATCACGTTGAGCGTTGAGCCGCTCGAGCATGACTGACATTCGATGCCCCCCTCTGATCAGAGACTGTTTTTGTTCTGGTCCTGCGACCGCCTGGGTTATTGGCCCCTCTCGCCCCCCCTCTCTCCTGGGTAATCTGACCTTGTCGATTGCGCATGTCCACGGGCATCTGTGGGGCAGATGTGGGGCTGCCCAAAGCGAAAAGGTTCAGTTATCATCCAACACTCCCCCCGCCATCCCCGATCTCAGATTTTGCCTCAGCCCATGCCGTCAGGACGGTAAGTTCCAAACAGCAGTGCTACGAGCCCCGCGAAATAACACTAGTATTGATTGCCTGATTCTGCGCGCGCCGCCTCAGGAGGACGATGACGAGTTCGCGGAGGCTGCTGAGACCAAAGCGGAGCCGGTGCCACCGATCTTTGCTCCCGGAATCGGTACGAATTCAATGGGTACGGACATGATGGGCACGAAGAGTGACACCAGTTCCTGGTAGTTTTACTCGTTCCCCGGGACCAGTTCATCATCCTGAGTCGTTTTTTGACGGTCCCGAGGCCTGGTGGACGCCCAAAAGAGCGGTCACTTGTCCGTCATGATCTTTTCACGACGCGAGAACGAAGGATTTCCTGGAGCCGCGTCTGCCTCAGGTAACGACACGCTCCCCTGGCCGTGCCGCCCCTGGAAGCCACCCGAGGGACACCACTCCCTCAGGCGACCGCCTGCCCACGCCACGGCTGGGTATCGCGGCTGCGGGACGAGCCGGTGGGGATCCTCCGATACGATTCTCTTCCTCCTCCTCTTCCCTCCTTCTCCTCCTCCTCCTTCTCCTCCTCCTCCTCCTCCCTCCTCCCTCCCTCCCATTCCCTCCCTCCCTCCCTCCCTCCCTCCCTCCCTCCCTCCCTCCCTCCTCCTTCCTCCCTCCTCCCTCCTCCGTAGCCATTTTGGCTCAAGGTTGCGGCCCCCTGTTTCGCAGGTTTCGTGTTTCCGAGATGGTACCGGTGTCCTCGAGCGCTGGGATGGGGAGCAGCAAGGCGCTTGCTTTCCAGGCAGTGCTCGAGGCGATCGAGGCGGTGAAGATCTGGAGAGGCTGCAAGGAGTGGCTCTTCCGAGTGGCGGTCGAGACGGCGAGCCGCGAGGCCATCTCGGCCCAGCCCGCGGCTTCGGACGCTGGCTGTCCTGCCTGCGGGGTCCTCGCCACGTTCGAGGGGGTGCTGGACGAAGCTGGTCAGTCCCTCGGCCTGGAGCGGAAGGCCACGGGCGAGGACGTCAGGAAGCTCCTCGTGCAGGCTGGCCAGAAGTCTTTGGCCAAGGAGTGGGTCGACTTCCGTGCAGGGCGCCGCGCCTGTGGACACCCGTCCTCAGGGGTCGCGGAGCGGGTCATCAGGGCGATCAGCACCCTGGACAAGTCTGGAGTCTACCTCAAGGAGAGGGGGCCTAAGGAGGAGGAGTTCGTGCAGGACGGTGAGGAGATGATTTTGGAGTGTGGCGTCACCGAGGCGTCAACGGAAAGCAGGTCGGACATGGTGTCACAGAGCTTGGAGAAGTTCGACATGAATGTCGAGGTTGTGGATTCCGCCTCCACTGTCAAGCTAGGCGAGCTGGAGTACTCGCCCGTCCAGGCCCGCTCGGTTGTGAAGGAAAAGAAGAAGAAGGTCAAGAAGAAGCTCCCGCCTGACTCCTGCGCCGACGTCCTCCCCACCTTGGCCTCGGTGGATATCATGACGCGGTCGGTTCCTGCTGGCCTGGACTCGTTCGACATCTCGGACCCGCTGATGCTGGTCCCTGTGTGCGAGATGCCAATTTCCACGCCAGTGGACTACGCGTCGTTCGACATCTCGGACACGCAGATCAAGGGCTCGAACAATAGCGACAGAGACGTTCAGGTCCTGGAGAACACTCGTTCCTACACGGGGGCGAACGACTCCCAGAAGCCTGGGGAGGTGCTGAAGGACGCTGAGGGGCAGGTCGTGAAGCTGGACGCGATAGAGCCTGGTCGTCCGCAGAGCCTCGTGGCTGCAATCCTCGCTCAGTATGGCGGCAACCTCTCCCAGGAGCAGATGAAGAAGTATGTCAGCGAGGCCTTCCTTCATCAAGCCAGGCTCGGAAAGGTTGGCACTCGCTGATCACCGCGGCTGCGACCTCAAGGAGGCCGATGTGCAGCGGTGGGAGTACAACCGATGAGCCTGCGGCCAGTCGGTGCGGGGTCCGCGGGTAGTCGTGCTGCCGTGGACCCCTTTGCCCCTTGGGGGCGGCGCGTGGTGCGTAGATAACTGCGCGTCCCGTGGGGGCTGTCCTGGCGCCGTGGGGCGCCGCAAGCACTGTTTGGTGGCCCCTGGATGCGAAGGCTCGTGCTCCTTCGGCGTCCTGGGCTCCCGATCGGATCGTCCTGGCGCGAGGCTCGTGCTCCTCGCGGCCAGGGCTGAGGAAGGACGGGGCACGGGTCCCCAGTGGCGAACTCCTGGCGAACTCCCTCCTCCCTCCTTCCTCCTCCTCCCTCCTCCCTCTCCCTCCTCCTCCACCTCCTCCTCATCCTCCTCCTCTGGCCACGGCGGTGGGCGGGGATCCTCCAATGGGCCTCCCGCAGGGGACCCGCGACGCAGCCCGAGCCCCAGCAGGAGGAGGAGGAGGAGGAGGAGGAGGAAGAGGAGGAGGATTGCCGCTGCGCTACTCTGCTGCAACAGTTTGCAGTCCTCCTGGCAGCCAGCCAGGCAGCCGACGAGCTACGGCACTTGAGACGCGCCCAGCGCAGGAGACATCCGTGCTCGCTGGGCTGCCTGCACAGGGTGCAGGCCACATGTCGGGGCCATGCCCACGTGGCCTGGGCCAGGAGACTGGGCGCGCGACGGGCGTCAAACGAAAAGCCGAGCCGCGGTGAAAACATCCGCGTCGAGCCAAACGCAGTCGCTCTTCGGGTGCCGGCCAGCAGTGGTACGGTTCCAGTAGTATTGAGACGGCCGAGGGCAGCGAGGGTGGCCGTTGCACTTTTGGCTCAAGTACCTCTCATACCGTCCTGTCGAGAAAGCCTTGCACTTCAGGCAGCTGCATAAGGCGCTGCCGTCCGAGCAAGATAAACCGCGCACTTGTGGCCAAGCTCTATGAGTTTCGCGTCAAAGAGCTTGTGGGTCGACGAGCAGACGCGGTTGGGCGGCCCGGCGACCGCGCAACCCGCAAACAAAGCTTGCACTGCCAGAAGACGCCCCTCCACACCCAGGAATGGCGGACCTTGGGAGCGGGAGCGACAGGCTCACGCTGCTCACGTCTGGCTTCTGAAAGGTCACACGCAGGCCACAACTGGAGCAATCTGGCAGCAGACACACACACACACCTTTTCTTGAAATGGCGAGGGTTCGTTCGAGCCACTCCGACTTCTCGGGGCTCGGCTTCTCGTTGGCCAAGGCCCCGAGCTTCGCAGAGTCATCGGCGAGGTCGTTACTTGCCTTGCAGAATTGGGATAGGTCATCGACCGATGCCTGCTCATCGGCCATGTGACCTTTGACCTTTAAGCTCTGTCCCATCTTAGAGTCAGCCGTCTAGACACCTGCCAGCATACGCGCGTCTGAAAGACAACTGGTCGGGCCGAGGGAGGGCCCACAATTGTACGACGTTCTGGCAGTCGCTGAAACCAACCGACTGCTCTAGAGCGTTCTGACAGGCGGCCGTGCACGTTGCAAATTCACCAGCCTGAGCAATCGGAGGGGTGGGGGGAGCGAGAGGAGCAAACACATGGCCCAGCTCCTGCCCATCATCGGAAACCGCCACATACGCCCAACCCGTCCTCGACTGCTCCTTAATGACAGAGCGGATACACGAACCGTCCATGAATGAATTTCCTTGCGCCAGAGAATCATCTCGCCCTGGGCCACAAGCATGAACCACAGTCTGGTAGGGGCAGGGGAGAAGTCGCCAGGATGAGACAGAAGGCCAAGTGTGTACAGCACCTGATCATGCTTGGATGGGGAAGGCCCAGGCAGGAGGGGAGGAAGCGAACTCGTTCCCGAGCAACTCTTTCCGAAGCTCAGCGCAGGACTGGCGCTGGCACTTCCAGAGCCTGTGAAACATCGTGCCCGGGTCCGTGCAGCACTGGGGGCAGAGGAGGTCTGGCAGGATGCACCCGTGCTCGGACGCCCGAACCTTGGTCCATGGGGCCTGACAAACGAGCCCTCGGATACACCCTTTTTTCCCACGGCGTGAATTTGGGAGACGCCATCGCCGCGAGCGGGACTTCCAAGCAAGCGCGCCGATCGAGGCCGAGGCTGTCTCCGCGTGCTCGCTCGCGGGATCTCCAAGCGGCAGCGCGGAGGAGGCGCTTCAGAAGGGCAGTCGGCGCAAAGGCCAACTGAACTTCCACCCCCAAATCATCCACCAGGGTCGTGAAAGAGGTCATCCTCCACCCGGGGTTCTCCACGGGGGGCCTCAGGGCCCCGACAGGCCCCCCGAGTGTCCTCCAAGAGGGGAGGGGGCCCGAGAAAACGGCATCCCGGGGCCGGCGCAACTCGGCCAGGCTGAGGCCGAACGCAACGGTGGCCGTCAAACTGGCCCAGACTTCTTTCGACCAGCGAACGACAGGGGCCACCGCGCAGTGCCGCGCGGGGCCGGCGGCGAACAGCAAAGCTGCAGTGCGCGAGCGACCTCCAGCCGAGGGGCCCAGGAATCTTTCAATAGGCCGCCTCAAATTGGAGAGCTCAAAGTCAGAGGCCTTGCACCTCGCAGCCGTAGGGCCTGCTGGCCAACGACCCGCTCGTAAAAATGCGCATGGCATGGCGGCCCAGGGCAAGACGATGCACGCCAAGTCTGTGAATCTTCTTCTTGAGATCCTGTTCCCGAGCCGTAATTCTAGCATCCCTCCTGGCCATCCTCGCCGGTTGCCCTGCGGCATCGTCGATGCCCAGATTAATGGCAGCCGCGCAGGGAGCGCCGCCGACAGCGCCAAGGCCTCGGCGAATCTCCTTAACAACGAGAGGCAAAGAGCCGACAACGGCCGCCTTCTGAACAGAAATCGCACAGCCTGGATCGGACTCAATCGCAGCTTTCAACTTGAACGCTCCTTCCAGAAGGTCCTGGACGACAGCCCTGGGACGCCCAGGGCACGACAAGGTGTAATCATCGATATGCGCCCTGAGCGAGACCGATCTAGGAAGGCTAAAGCCGCCGAAGGCCGCAAGCGAGAAGACGCGAGGAAACGCGGTCGCGAAGCAACCGCGACCTCACTACTCCTAACCCCTTGCCTCCAGTCCGTCTCGGCGCCAGAGGCAAAGGGCACCAGCGCAGGAATAATCACGGGCGTGGGCAGACTCCCATTGCAGGGCGAAGCGGCGACGAGTCCTCGCCCGCAACCGACACTCGGCATCAAACAAGCTTATCGGGCGGTGCTTCCGGTCAGGCTTGGCAAGCACAGTCTACAATCAGAAG